GCTAGCTTACGGCCGCAGAGGAGACTGCGCATGTGGCGAAGCATTTGTGATGGCGATCTGTCCCCAAGTTCGACAGTGGTGAATAGATCCCGTAGCATCTTGTTTTCTGATTCCCTGTCCTACTTATGACGGTCACTCGAAGGGCGTCATACGGCCTCCACCTGGTGAAACCATACCCTGGGTTTGCTTGGATTGTAGTCTGGCAAACGTATGCTAATTGCGTTCTCGACTAAATCCGCTGAATCAAAGTGTGCCTCCATAATTACCGGGCAAAAAATTACGACGAATTGAAAGGAAAAGCTTTCGAAAAATATCTAGAAATACTCGGGCTCGCCAAATTTGTAGTGGTCTGGCTACCCAATAAGTTAGTCTACCAGTAGTGTGTGGCAAAGAAACAAAAATAATTACGCTAGGTTGGGTATACAAAAATAGAGAGATCAGATGGGACAGACTCACTAACGATTGTTCTCTTTAAAATAGTTCGTCGTTGGCCCAGGTCAGCGAATAAACAATAATCCAATTAGGTTCGTCCAGAGGTCTTCTTCTGAACAGTTCCCACATAATAGGTTCCGAAGATAATCTGAAATGTTTTGGTACCAGAGTTAGTACATGAGAATCACGAATGACTGCTGCAAGCGCGAGCGAAATCAGAAGAGAGAGTTGAAGCACGTGACCACGCTTGTATTCTCTGAAATTCTACAGGTGCGCGTTTTTGCAGTTTTTCGTATTCAAACAAAAAACGATTATGCAATTGATGACATACGTAGTGTTATAATGGAAGTAAAATAAAGGTACAAAACCCTACACTAGACATTGCGACTCATTTTAAATAAACCAAATTACTTTAGGTGAAACTATGGTTTTTCAACCTGGCTATTTCAGGGGTTTATTGCAACCCGTCCGCACTTTTCGATGGCATGTTACGGCAAATTGTTTAAATGTGTAAAATTTGAAGGTCATTGCCCGCCCCCCCCGCCACAAACGAATGCTGAGTCGGCAACCCTATAGATTGTTAACTGAATATGCTTCCACATGTTTATCATTTGACCCGCTGTGTGCACATCCTTCTTTTTCTTCCTTGGTGGTATCCCCTGCGAACCACCACTAGTCTCAGGCGGGAGGCGATTGTCCGCTTGTACATCCGTCTAGGTGACCTTGAGCCATTGCTATACCTGCACTTGTGCCTGCAGTTTCGGTTCCAATGCACGCATGTTGTTGCTTCCCTCCGATCTCCTATTCTGTGTCACTAAATCTGTTCTAATTCTGGCTCTGTACGTCTTGTGGTTCCAATAATACCAATTTCCATACCTGCAAGTTCCAGAACCGACGTTTACCAACTCTACATCCCCGCGGACGCGTTCCACTCGTAGAAAACCACTGACTTCCTGAAGTCCCACGCCACACAACTGTGGCTTCAGCACTCTATAAGTATATTTATTTTATCGCAGGTTGCACGTCCGAGCTATCTCAATCCGGATTGAGATAGCCCAAAAGAGGCCTCTTTTGGGGAAAAACCCGACCCATTGACGGAATTCGCTGTTTCCATATCACTTTGTTTGACCTTCGTGCACTTCCGGTTTCTGGTTGGATACAAGCCTTTCTACACCGCGGTCGTTCTACCTTATCTGTGCGTCGTGCCCGCTGTGTCTCAGCGCGCCGCCGTTTCTGAGTTAACCCTATGTTTCCCTTGCCTTTCAGCGTGCTACGTCGACTTGCCCACGTCAGGGTCTCAGAGCAATTTGGGGTGTGTCTAAGGATCGACACCAATCGGCCTTCCGAGTGCTTGACTTCAAAGATCGCAACATACCCATTACATCCGTTCGGTCAGGACGCAGTTACCGGAACGAAGACGTTCTGGTAGTGTACGGCAGTGAAGCATCAGTGCCAACACTGATGTTGCTGTCATTGATGATGATGATGATGATGAGACTGGTTCTGGTATAGGCTCATCCGACATGTTCTAGAGCAGCGACACTCCTTCCAGCAGCCAATAATAATTGTGTTTCTTCAGCTGAAAGCTGCCTTTGACCCTTTGAACTGTCAGGCACTATGGTAGTGTCTGCGAAGCAAAGGTGTCCCCCATAAATTCTTGACCCTCCTTAAGGCGCTGTACGCCAACTCCCGCGGCCGTGGAGATCTACGGGAAGCTCACTTCTGAGTTTACTACGCCAAGCGGTGTCACAGAGTACTGTCCTCTTTCACCTTTCCTCTACAACTTTGTCATTGATTTGATCATGGTAGACTCACTATCAGCCCCTAACGCCTGTAGGGCCGAAGTGCTCCCGCTTCGTCCACTTACAGATATCGAATGCGAAACGACATATCTCTTCTTGGATCTGACCCCGTGGTAATGCAAACAATATTAAATAATCTTACTACTTCCGCCTTGGTTTGGCATGCGCTTCACACCTGCAAAGTGTTAAGTGCTGCTGCAAGACTGGGTAGGATCGAACCCAATGCGGATGAACCGACTGAGGCGGTAGAAAAATTTGTTTGCCTGGGCAGCTGTATCAGTCCCGGTCTCGCGAAAGCTGATATTTCCATCCGGGTTGGGGAAGCTATAGGAGCTATTGTAAACTCGCGTCACCGGTGGTGTGGACGTGACACCAGTCTATCCGTCAATGGTCGAGTTTACAATGCCGCTATGCGCCCCATATCACTATACGTATCACAAACGTGGCCGCTGCGCGCCAATGACGTCAAAAGACATTCAGTCTCTGACCATCGATATCTTCGGATCATTGCCCGAGTTTGCCGTCGCGAAGAGACTGAACCTTACCGTGGTGTGATGGTTTGCGCACCTCAGGGACCCATTGAGCTGCACTGGGAGATACCCCCGCGACACTCCGAGTCTCTCATACCAGGTTGGTTAATGGATAGAGTTCTGATAGAGTTCAGTCTCTTGGCTATCCAGGTTGGGGGTTGGAACATGTGGCGACTTGTTCCGTAGAAATGGTAATGCATTTACACTTCCGCCGAACACCGCTGCCTTGTGGTTAGGCTTTTGAGCCAAAGGCATGGGCACCCTGGCAATATCCCATTCCACGTACAACTACGAACTGCACATATACAGATAAACTCATGCCACATCGGCCGTCGCGCTGTGTTATCAGCCGGGTCGCCTTACGGGCTGCCTACCATGGGGCGGGTAAGCTAAAACAGGCTACTGCTGACGCCTCCCTCCTTTCTCTTTCACATACTTTCTCTTCTCTCCACAACCCACCCCATTAGTAACTCTCTCCTTGTAGGCCTAGCACTCAGGACTGATGACTACGTTCGTCTTGCATCGATTTTGCGTGCAGCATCTGCTCGTCACATGGCGCTGACATCCTCAGATATCTCCAAATCAGTTTTCGAGCCTCGACACCCGGCATGTCTGGCCGCCCTCAATGTCCGCACTCTAAATCAATCAGGACAAGTTGCTCTTGCTCTCGCACTGAACTCGCTTGGATTTGATGTGCGCTGTGTCTCAGAAACGAGAATTCAAGATACGAGTACAGTGATTGAGCTAACCGCTCCGTCAGTCTTCACTCGCTTCCGGCTGCGCACCTCTGATGATCCAGAGGCTGCTGCAGTGGGATGTGCAGGGGTTGTTATCGTCCTAAGTCATCAGCGGGAAGTATCCTTGCTTGAATAGATACCCGTTGATAGTCACCTCTGTGCGGTTCGTCTGGCAACGTCTGTGCAGGAGTCTCACAAGTGGGGATGCTGATTACTGTCTGTTCCTCATGTTCGCTGACGCCCCAACTGACTATGTCTTCGATGCCGACAGGTTTTAAGACGCCCTGAATGCCCTGCTGCGGTAAGCTAAAAGTTCGGATATCGTGGTGGTTGCCGGAGATCTAAATACAAACTGGGCAAGCTTAGCGCATCTGAGGTTCACTTAGGAGGTCGACATGGATTGGACTCGGTGCTTACGGACAATCTTGAACGATTGCTTCAGCTATGTGCTAATCATAAGCTGCTTTTATGCAGCACTAACTTCCGAAATAGCCGAAGTCGTCTGGCCACATGGTGTACTCAAATGGCATGCCGACCACATTACCCTTAGTTACCGATGGCGCTGATCAGTAACTGACTGCCGGTCGTTTTGGAACACATTTGTGGACGCTGACCACGCACTCGTCGGAAGTCGCTTCTCCCTACATTTTCCAGAGCCGCCTAAGATGCGGACAAATAGCTTGGCAACCGAAAGCCGGATGTTAGACGAACTTACCAGAATCGTCTTTTAGAGTCTCTGTCAAATGCTCCACCATCAAATGTGAACTCATACTGGGACGAGATTGCCATAGTGCATGGGAATTTCGCCTGTGGCGCGGCACCACCAGGCGCACGCATGCACTGGATATTAGACCGAACGGTGGTTCTGCTTAAATCTCAGAGAAATATCTCAGCCGGTCCCGAACATAACCCACTGTGAAGAGTTATCAGACGTCAGGTGAAAGTGTGCGTGCGAGCCGACCGTGAAGTGTGGTGGACACAGAAAGCCAAAGAAATGGAAGGTGTTCAGAAAACCGGTAATTCTCGAAGATTATTTCAGTTGATCCGTGCTCGCGGTCCCCGAAAACCACCTGTGAGCGAAACCACCAAGCATCGGAATGGACGGACCATCTCGAATAAGGAAGAACGCCTCGACCGGTGGGCTCAGTACTTCGAACAACAACTGTCTTGGCCACCTGCTGGCACTCATCTAGAGCCTGTTAGTGAAGTAGAACCCTAGATGGTGAACGTAGAACCACCTACAGCCTCGGGGGCTTGCGATATGTTCTCTCAAGCTCCATCGAGCTTCTGGTCCGGATGGCCTGCCACCCGCGTTGTTCAAAGACGGGAGTGAAGTCCTCAGTCAACGCTCGTCTGATCTGTTTGCCTGCACTTGGGAAAAGGAGTCTGTCACACAACTGGTGAGAGTCGTTGGTTTTGCCCATTTTCAAAAAGCGACTCGTAGTGAGTGTGGTAACCATAGGGGGATCAGCTTGACCCCGGTCGTAACGACTGTTGGTATCGATCGTGCTTCGTCGTGGCTCGTGAGACACTGACTCGAGAGTAGCAAACAAGATTCCGGCCTGGTAGGGGTTGCGTTGACCGAATCTTCACACTCCGTCAGGTGCTAGAACAACGCCATACGTATAGGCAACCCACAATTGTAGTATTTTTGGATTTCGCAGTCGCATTCGACTTTGCTGATCTCTGTTCTGCTTGACACGTTTACGTACCAAAGAATGCCCCGGAAGTTTGTGAACATTATGCGTTCTTTATATTCGCAGACTTCCGGGCGTTTGAGTATACGGATAAAAAGATAACCAGTCAGCTGTAACACCCTTTCGGGGCCTAGCTGCCATGCCACGCCAAGGAAGCACGAGGGCTGGGATACTGCCAGGTTGCCCAAGCCTAGACAGGGGAAGTTGACAGGCAGAGGTCGGGCTCGAACCACTTGACCATCTCGTTCCTTGAGTATACGGAAAGCTCTTCAAAAGCTTCCGTACACAAAGTAGTGTCCGTCAGGTGTGCCCACTCTCCCCGTTCATTTTTAGCTTCGCAGACGACATCGTTCTCATCTTCGACGAGGAGGAGAAGGCGCAAGTGTTTTTGGATGAACTGACCAAAAGTCGTCCCGCCCTTTGGTATGCACTTTGCACCCACAAAGTGTAAGGTCATAATCCTGGACATGCAGTCACTGAGCACGCCACTTACAATCCAGGGAGAAGCACTGGAAGTTGTGGAGCGTTTTACGTATCTTGGAAGTTGTATTAGTTCCGATTATAGTGTGACAGATGAGGTGAATGCACGAATCTGTCTGCTGATTTGAGACACCTATGGCGTCAGAGTAGTGTATCCATGAGTCTCAAGGGCCGTGTCAAGCTACAGTACGGGCTGTCTTGTTGTATGGCTGTGAGACTTGGCCTGTTTAAGCAGCGGAACTGAGACGTCTTCAGGTGTTCGACAGTTGTTGTCTCAGAACCATTGCTCGTGCGGGTTGGTGTCGGCGTATCCGTAACGAGGCAGTTAGAAAGCGCGTTTTCGGTTGCGCAACGGGTACTTCCATGGAAGAATGTGTCCAGTACCAGAAGCTGCATTGGTTGGATCATGTGTTGCATATGCCGAACCGTCGTTTCACGAAAAGAGTACTGTTATCCATGCCCACTTCATTGTGGCGTAAGCAGAGAGGTAGCCAACCTTTAACTTAGCAAAGGGGTATGAAGGAGATTACGAAACGCTTGGGTGCTTTCTGTGCTACTTGTCTACTAGGATGGGTAACGCGTGATCCCCACTGCGCCTGGTTGGGAACACTACAAGGTATGGCTGCCAACCGAAGTCAGTGGCGTTCTTGTCAGTTTCTATTTAGATTGCTTGAACAATTGTCTGGAGGTGTAGGCACCTCGAAATCATTGTAGTAAGGTAGCACCAAGTCGCTCTCCTGTCCATATTTATTCTTTTCTTCACAATAAGGCTCTCAACTAAATCATGGTTGTATGACAGTGAAGCATCGATGTTGAACACTGATGTTATGCTATCGATGATGGTGATGATGATGTCCGGGTCCGATGGGATCGATCATCGATGCTGAAGTACGTCGAATCGTATTCGGAAGAAATAACTCACCCTCAATAGATGAACTGATCACACTGTATAGGTTGCGTTGGCTTGGCCACGTGCCGCGTATGCTAGTCGACCGACTTCTTAGAAGAGTTCTTTTCGCACAACGACGTGAAGGGTGGAAACGAGCCAGAGGAGGTCAAACAATGACACTAACAGGAAGTGGAATTACCTCCCGGGAAGGGGCTGTATGGACCAACCCTTCATACTCCGTCAAGTGTTGCAGCAACGAAGTGCGTATAAGCTTCCTGCAATGTTGGTCTTCCTTGAGTTCATGTTTGCGTTCGGTTTTGCCAACCTGTTAACTGTGCTGAATATGCTTGCCCAATGGGTTATACCCCAGAGTTTCGCGACTATCATGCGCTAAACAGCGCGTGTTCACATACATTTGGGCGTTTAATGGTGCGTGAGGAGCTCCAAAACCTTTCCTGCAAGCAGTGGCGTCCGAACTTATGTCCGATCTCTCCATTTTTTGTTTAGGTTGGTCATTGGTAACATAATATGATGTACACTGTGAGGTCTCCCAAACCTCATTGTTGACATAATTCTGGGAGAGAACCTTATCCACTTGGAATATGCAGACATTTTTCCTTTTTTCAAATCGACAGGGCTGTAAAAACTGACGAGGTCATCCGGTCTCAAATGTGCTCTGCACCCTCGAATGACACTGGAAGTCATGGAATGCTATACTTATCCTAGAATTAGCATCTCCTACGGCAATGTGATACAAAGTTGGCATACGAATATCGAATACTAGAATAGCTTTTGTCAGTTGTTACCACTTGTGATGTCAAAACGCCCTAACGCTGCATCTCAGAGGACGCGTGCGTCAGACTGCAGTGCCAGCTGTGTTGTACAGTTAGCCACTTTGGACGGATGATCTAAGACATTTCCGAGTCTTTGACGACCGATGTCTCAGAAGTACAGCCGGAAGTGGCTGGAACCAGCGGATTCCGAATGAAGTTATCAGGAGACGGGTTTTTGTTGAGGCATGAAAGATGCATCCGGCATTGAAAGCTAAATTGGCTGGACCATATGCTACAAATGCCGGAACGAGCGACGTTTTCCGTGTCTAATTCGGAATGATGGAAGCTAGAGGTGGGCAGAATTTGACATTTCGGAAGGGAATGATGTTACAACAAGCTTGCGTGCTGTTGTCGCCTTCCGTAACGTGGTCCTGCGTGTGTTTGGCCTGAAGACAGTGAACAATATGGCAGATAACTGATGTCAGCGGCGTTCATGCTGTTAGCCCCTATCCAGATTGACTGGGTGTTGGAGGTGTATGCGCCTCGAATTTGTGTTGTAGGCTAGCCGTAATTCACCCCTCTATCCAATTTCTGTCTTCTTTCCGTTTTAAGTCCTTGTTTAATACATCAGCTTTGTTATGCGGCACTGAAAAAGTGTTCTTCCCTGATGTAGCTGTCGATTATTGTTACTATTATAGTCGAGTACCATAGCACCAGAATAAGATAGCTCCTGCGTGGTGCCACTTGTAGATAGTCCTGCTGGTTTGTCTGGTTCCGGCTTGAGGTTTTCCATGTTCCTTCTACTCTAGAACTATTATACTTACATTTTTCAGGTTCTGATCTGACCGCATACAACCTATTCGCTTATCCAATGCAGAGTGACTTCGAGATGACCGTTACTTAGTTGCACCTGGGCATGGTGAATCATTTGAATCTGATGGCATGCCGGACCGTTAGTGATGCAAGCACCAGAAGCAGGACGAGTGGTCCTCTATGCCCAGCCTCTGAGTGTGGATCGTTTCCTCGCCGGAATCCGTCATCCTCATCGTCTTCTAAGTCACCTGAAGAAAAACAGTCGGTAAATTCGAAGTCCTCATCCGCAAAGATTTCACTGTCTGTGGGTCAGTTGGATGTTTCAGACAGATGTAAACAAGGAAAACAGGCTGTGTGTGAAGGTAACTTGGTCGCGTCTGATAGTTGAGGCTTCTTATAGGTGGCGTTTCTTCGTCCTCGAGGAACTCACCCAATGACTACATATGGCAGAAGATTGAGTCCTTAATAGAAAAAATGGTCTCAGATGAGAACGGTATTCCCGTTCGCAACGTAAAAAGCCTGATGTCCACGATCCCGAGTACTTTTACCGGTAAGTTAATAATGGTTTTGTGTAACTTGCCCGATTTTACGCTTAATTGGCTTTTTGTTTGTCTATCCGGTTCTGGGTTAAGTTTATGCACTTTATTTATCGGTGCACCGGCATCGTCACGTGATATTGGCAGCTATCATGAGGACATCAGTCTATTTAAATTAATATTCATGTAGCTGATGATAGCCCCACAGTCGATTCACCGTCGTGATTGTAATGAAGAGGCTGGAAGCACTACCTCATCACTGTAGTTGTCTAAGTCAGAGGCCCAAGTGCTATGGACGTGATCTGGGGTTCTGCGTGACTATCGGTTATTTTAAAATCAGCAATTGAGTCTGCTGGGAATATTCTATCAGCACTAGGGCATAGGTAACTGAAGAAACTTGTTTGTAACGGTTGAACTGATAATGGTAGAAGCTTCGCCTAACAAGGGGCACACCCAGCAAGGTTTACATCCATGATAAGTGGGCTACGGTGGTAGGAGAACGCTTTTCAAACGAGAATCTATTGTTTGGATAGGCGAATAAGACTATTCTGATCTCATACTAACTGTGGTCCCTCTTACAAGATCTCGTGTCCGTTAACTGAAGCAACGTTTCTTTGTACAGATCACGACCATTCTGATGTTAGTATCGTGGTATCTTGATTCTACTCATGATCCCAGGAGAGTTATTAAAAGTTGTAGAGAATCTCACATACCCTAGTTATATTAACTCTGACGAAAGTGTGTCTGATGAAGTCAGTGCACGAATCTCAAAGTCCGGAATCACGTTTGGTAATTGTCACCGTTTCAGGCGTCAAAAAGGTGTATCACTTTGTCTCAAGGGTCGTGCGAGCCAGGCTAGAGTAAGTGGCTGCGGACAGATGCTGTGAGGCTTATCGAGGTTTTTGACCGCCGATGACTTAGAGGCGTCGCTGGTGTCGGATGATATCAACGAATTTGCAACGTGGTAATTAGACAACACGTTGGGACAACCCAAATTCCATCACATACGAAGCACTTCGACTTCTCGTAGTGCAATATGCGATGGGTTCTAGCTTAGTTAAACGGCCTGGAGAATGGAAAATCGACACTCAATCCGACGGGATCGATGTCACGTTAAAAAACAAAGGTCATATCAAGGGCAACCAAGTAGAACCATTGACCAGACACTGGCATTCCTTCCGAAGCCAAGACGACCGTCGAAATGGCTTAATTAGCTACTTTCGCTTGCGCAGCGGCTATCAACCTGTCCTTAGCGCTGGAGTTGCTGCCACTGATAAGGATGATAATGACTGCGCCTATAACATAGGATTAAGGGTCTAAAGCTTTCCCATCTGATGGTTCGCCATGTCTTGCAGAATGATTTCGCATCTGAATCACTCCATCCCAAGTCGTCTTCCCTTCCCAGCCCCCATTCTATATGCCTGTTATTTTTGCCATCCATTGTTTCAGGCAGTGATATCGTCCAATGGTTAATGCAGCATGTGGGGGCAAGCGACGTGGCAGAGGCCGTCAACCTGGGAAGTCGCATTGCTTCAATGGGCTACATTTTCTGCATAGATGATCACACACTGACTGTGAAAAATGACAACCACACCTACTATAGGTTTCAGACTCCTTTTCTCTATCCCAGTCGTTGTATGGAAGCGGACACAGTAGACTATGCTGTCTACCTGTGTAAACGAACCATGCAAAATAAACAGCGCCTGGAGTTGACTGGATTTGAGGCGGAGCGACTGGCCAGCCTGCAGAATCTTTATTGTCACCGATGGGAGTTTGTGTATATTCAGGTGAGCCACGTTAGTGTTTGATTCATTGTTGTAATATCCTCGTGCCCTAAATGTTCTATTCAAGTTCACCTGTCATCATCATCATCATCATTATCAGCTGTAATAACCGCGTACTGGTCGTACACTGGTTGTAGCTGCCACAGTTTCGTTCACCGATGATTGGGGGGTAAGTAGCTGCGCATTGCACGCGCGAGCTGGTAAATTGGTGCATAAATCCAGCACTGTCAGTGAGTTGTCAAGC